GTACATAAGCTACTTTTGCCGGAAAGTGCAAATGAAGCACTCCCTTCTGCCTGCAGTTTTAAACTTATGTCCTTTCATGTACTAGGGACTATCCGAACTTTATTACATGTGGGTAAGGGGTATAGGGAATGCGCAGAGGAGGGAGAGACGGTGTAGTGACACGCCTAAGGACAGGTTCACGCCGCGGAAGCCATCTGCATCTGCTCCCGCCTCTAGTCTTCCTGGCTCTGCCTTGATACTGGGTCCGGGTGGTTGAGGGTGGATAGAATGTGGTAGATGCTGCTCAAGTCTACTATCATTATAACGTAATTCTCGCGCAAGTCATTTTCCCTGCGTCCACACTGCTGTGGTTTCACACCTCGAACAGCTTCGTAGATGACGGCTCAACTGTCATCTGCGAGTTCAGATAGTTTGCTTTAAAGAACTAGCTAGTGGGGCTATAACAGTGTTTAAGTTCACTGGAAACTCCTGAGAGGGCAGTTATTTAAATTACCTTCTCTTTTTAAAAAAAGTAGGCCAGGTTTCACTTTTTCTCCATTTACCTGCTGCACTTATCACGGTTCATTTTACTTAGTAAATTGATTAAATTTTATTTTTGTTAAATGCAGAGACTGCAGTCCTCTGAGCAGTAAGAAGTACTATTTCCGCAAAATTTAGATTGGATTTCATTTTCGCTGTGAGCGAGTTTTAATGCGTTCTGTACCACAAAGCAATTCACAGATATCGGTAAAAAATTGTAGCACCCAAAACTATATTATGGCCTTCATGCATTACATAGTTTCAGTGGATTTCAAACTTTAAATGCTAATAACAAAAAAAGTGTTTCCTTGTAACGGCTGTGGCCAGTTAAGACTACCGAAGCACTGTTGGTGTACAAATCTGATACCGAAGAAGCAAATGTATGGCTGATCATGAAGGACATTGGCTTTACAGTAAGGTCCGTCAGAGGGTCACCACTATAGCTTAACGGTCCCACTTCTGGTACACAGTTGCTCAAGCAACTGGTAACCTTTGCCTCCCTGTTCCCTACTTTCACCCCACTCACTCTGTTTAGGGCAGATCGAATGCTTGGCGCTTGTAAGCACTGGTAACCGATACCCGAAGGTTTCAACTGCATAGGAACCCAATCTGCTCATGCCTTTTCAGATGCTGGGCTACGGCTCGAGCAGACAGTTATTCGGAAAAAAAGCTAATTTGCGAATCAAAGCACGAAGGATGACCGGAACACGGATGATAGCGTTCCATGCTTATTTTATCTAGTAGCCTTTTCGGTCAAATAGTGTTTGGCACTGCAGACTGTTCCTGTGAGGTATTTTGCTTTCCCTGCAAATAAGGCCGGATT